AAAAATTGAAGTAGGAATATTATTATGTAATTGTAACTTTATTATTTTAAAAACTTCATTAAGTGAAATTTTAACAAATCAATTAATTTTAACCTTCAATATTATAGTAATTTAGTACCAACTGACTCTCATGTATATTTTACAGCATTAGTTGAGAAATTTTTTTTCCTTGAGAAAATTTGGCATGTACTGTACCTGATATATATCCAAAATAATCGATATTGAATTGAATCGAATCGAATCGCAAGCTTGTGAATGAGAATCAAATCGAATCGTGAAATTTGTGTCAAAACCCAGCACTAGTAGAAATGTGCGTCTATCTATCTATCTATCTATCTATCTATCTATCTATCTATCTATCTATCTATCTGTCTGTCTGTCTGTCTGTCTGTCTGTTGTTTTGTCATTCTATCTATCGTTGTCGTTCTATCTATCTATCATTCTATCGATCTTTTTGTCTCTCTATCTTTCGTTCTATCTGTAGTAAATACCGTTGATAGTGTTGTTGGTTGGACTAGAACTCATCCAGACTAGACTGAATTTGCTCCGGTTCTCCGTGATATTTATTTCCTCAGTATCTGACCTAGAGCGAATCCTGTTGTTGAGCGACCGCCGCCGAATACTGATGTGAAGATTGTCTTCATTCCATGATGCACTGGGTCAGTGTGACAGTGATGGATGTTGACCCGGCTGCAGAGTTAAAGAGAGCTCAACCCTGACACTAGGAGGAGGAGAGTGGCCAACATTCTGGAGCTGAGACACAAACACTTCCACACGCACACCTGCTGAGAGGGCAAGTGCTTTGTGAGGTCCAGTCATCCACACATTATGTGTTGCACAAACACACCTCACCCTTAACCCATCAATAATAATCACATCATGCAGAAATTCATTGGCTCTGTCTTTGAGGAGACCTCTCTATTGACCACGCTGTTTTTTTTTCTTACACTCATCCATACAGACACTCTATTTTGAAACAGGGTGAGGACGGGGTGATATATTTATATTGACTGATGAATTTCCATTACATTTTCAAGCACAATTATCACCAAATTCTAAGGCAGCATCACAGTACCCAAAATTTGTGTCTGTATGATATTCTAGTTTAAAACGGTATTATTTTAGTATTATTTACTTACAAATAATATTTCTATACAAATATATAAATAATAATTTTACTATTATTTTGAATTAGCTTTTGATTTTAATTATTTTAATTTGTTAGTTTTAGTAATTACATGTGCTTTTACCATTTTTATTTTGTAAATGTTTCTGTTTAGCTTTTTTTATTTCGGTTTTTGCAATTGTAGTAATTTAACTTAAACGTATTTCAGATAGTTGCCAATGCAAAAATGTAAATTTTCACGCAAGTTTGTTTTTAATCTAATATTTATATTTTATTGCAGCTTTTAAAAATTCTGTTTAGTTTTAGTTAATAACAACAACAAAGGTTCATCATTCAATTTCAGACTGATTCACTAATGAAGCATTCAGTCCAATTTTAAACTGGTTTGAATGATTTATTGGAAAGAACCGACTTTAAAGAATGATTCGTTCACAAATTTTTTATTGCTATGGGTTGTAAGCAAGTTTTGCTCTACACAAAAGTAATATTTAGCCAATCCTCACAATCTATTTTGTGAGGGTTATTTAGTCTAAGATGATTTATTTATTTTGACTGATGAATTTCCATTAGATTTCCAACATAATTATTGCCAAATTATAAGGCAGCATCACAAATATTATGTCTATGTATTATTTTCTAGTTTAAAATTATATAAGTTTATTGGCTATTTATATATTATTGTAGTATAAGTTACATATTTAGAACTAGCTTTTATTTTAATGTTAAAGTTGCAATTTTGTGATTATTTTTTATTTTGAATATTTAGCTTTATTATTTTTTTATTTCAGTTTTAGTAATATTAGTACTTCAATTTAAACTTATTTCAGTTGATTGCCAAGGCGACATTTCTAATTTTCATCTAAGTTTTTAAATAATAATTAATAATAACAACACTGGTTCATCATCCAGAACCATTTTTGAACTGGTTTGAATGATACTTAAAAGAATTATTTGCTCACAAATTGTTTGTCACTATGGGTTGTGAACAAGTTTTATTCTACAAAAAATATAAAAATAAAAATAAATAATTTAAATACATTTTAAAATGCATTTTATTTATAATAAATAAATAAATATAAATTCAATTAAATAAAAAAATATTTAGCCAATTAAATGTATTGTAGCAGAGCATGAAGATGAACATTCTTTACATACATTTCCATGCCTTTTCTAGGCCTACAAAACCATTTTCCCCTTGATATTCTTATGTTGTCTATGAGTGTGGAAACCCACAATAAGAGTTATTTTTGTAAAACGTCACGCACAGAATTGCTGAGCTGAGTTTTTTTTTTTTAAGTGTAAAGATCCATTCACTTCCACTGGTTGTTAGCGACGTTAGCTTGGCCTCATTGTACTGCTAATGAGCATCATTAATTTCCGCGTGTTGACTGACCTCTGATGCCTGCCCAGCCCTGGCCACACCATTACACTCACAAATAAAAGGTTTGGCGGTTTCCACACATTTCTAAACACGTCCTGCATTGCCTCGCAGCTCTTCCTGTCCCAGACTCCCTTTCAAATGCTAATAAGTGACGCAGACTCATCGTTTACAGTGTGTAGGCTGTTGCGGTACATGCCTTCCTCTTCATAATCAAAGAGCTCACCGTGCAGTGACCGCCGGGCTTGGCTGCCTGCAATGCTGGCGTGGATTCCCGGGGGTCTAGAGTTTGAATTCTGCTCAGAGCTTGAAATGAAGCCCACCGCATCCAGCTAGCAAACTATGTTAGCAAAGATGCCGGAGGTTCTTGAGTGCACATCTGACTCATGGAACATGAGAGTGGACGATGCCATCTGAAATGTTCTTTCTCATTCTCTGTTCATTTTGGCATGCTCAGGCCATGCATGCTTTTCTATAAACGTACATTTAAGAAGTTCATACTGTATCTCATAGCAAGTTTAATCCCCCCCCCCCAGAAGTCCACTTATAACATGTATTGACTTTATTGTATTTCATTTATGAACTCATTTTATAGTGGGTTGCAATAAAAAAAATAGTGCCAGTGCAGTTGTTCATTCATTCATTCATGAAATGTCATTGTTCTTTATATGCCATAGTGTAATATACAGTTATTATCAGGCCAATATAATTTATAAAATAATAATAAAAAAATAAAGCGAATGATTTATATTTATTTTTGTTAATTTGTTAGTTGGTCTCCTGTACAGCATTTAAAAACACCACTGCTAAAGAATGAAAGTGAAAATGTAATGTAATAATTTCGTTTTCTCTCTGTCCTTCAGCTCCTGCGAATGCTCAGATTGTGCATTCTGGGCAGACATGTGTGGTGAAGGAGGACAACATCAGTGAAAGGATCTACACCATCAGAGAGGGGGACACGTTAGTTCTGCAGTGTCTGGTCAAAGGACACCCGCGGCCTCAGGTGAACACAAACACACATTCACTAGTGGACAAAAGACATGCATATGGGTCCAAATTAAACGTTTTGCCACACCTTGCAGTGGTGAATGAATTTACTGGAGAAATATTGTTATAAGCCAAGAAACTTCATTTTACATTATTTTATTTTAAGCAAAAACTTTTGTCCTTATGACAGTGGACATATTTGTGTCAGACAGTGCAGGTCAATATGTCACTTGTACATCTCCTACAGTATAAGATGTTACATCTCTCCAAGTGTACATCTGTCTCTAAAAATGCACCTGTCACAAAAAAAAAAAAAAAACACACTGACACTGCGTTCTTCATGTTTTTGTTTTGGTACCTTAATGTGAGGGACATTCATCATATTTTTTGACATGTGGAGTTGTGGAGAGAAAACACTTTTGGCATTCTATATTAAACTCTAATGGTAAATATTTCACTGAGGTAAAAGTTAGAAACAAGCAACATATCTTTGCTTCAGCAGACAATTAGTTTAAATTATTTATTAATTAATAAAAAAGATTACAATTAAATGAAAAATACTATATATTTTCATATATAATGTATTCATCCTTTTTTATATCAAATTACAATTATAAAAAGTATACAATTAAATTATATATATATTATT